TTTTGATTTTTGAACAAAAAAGTTGTGATTTCAGATTTTCTAAAACTTCTTTGGGATTTTTGAGACTGCACATTTGATTTTCAAAACTTTTTCAGAATAGATAAAAGGAATGAAGTGGGTGTTAAAATAACCGATTGAGGGGCAATATGAGAAGCATCTATCCTAATTTTTTTTAATTCAGAAGTGACTAAAGAATTATGTTGATTACCTAATCAATATGTACTGGTCCCAGCTGACAAAACAGGTATTGCAATTGTATCTTAGATGACTTTGATTTAATTCTACAAGTGGCAATCCGACTTATACTTGCAGTTCCTTTCTAAGGAAGAGATTCTTCAAAATCACTTCACTTTTAAATATTTTCAATATTCCAAATAATCAAATTGATTTTGAATAACCATTCCTTTATTGGATTCCAAAACTTTATATATACATGTATCCTTACCTATCGGGATACATAGCGGGATCAAAAAATGCTCTACCAATACTCTTTCTTTACTCCTCATAAAAGTATTAAAAGCAATGAAGGAAAAATTTAAGTAGTATTAAGAAACAGAATATTGTGGTGTTAATCAAATGTGGATACTTAAAAACTCAACCAAAAAAAAAAAAAAAAAAAAAAAAAAAAAAAAAAAAAAAAATTGAGAAAATTTGAAATCACTGAATTTTACCAAAATCAATAGCATCAAAATGCATTTGATTTTTCAACACTGTACTCAACCATCCCCCAAGGCTTTTAGACAATTGCTTCTTCAATAAAAATGGAACACAAAAATTTGCATGCCTTGTCATTGGCCATCTGCAAACATAATGTTATTGTTAAAAGACATTCCAATTCTACATAAAAATATGCTTGAGTTTCTCATTGGCAAGACAATATCTATAATATCTTTGGAGATCAGGCAACACGACCATGAACTGAAAACAGACTTTTAAGTTAAAATTTTTATTACCTTGTCATTGGTCATCTACATACTTTCATTGTTAAAAGCCTTTCTGATTCTACACAAAAATACTTAGAAGATGCTTGAGTTTCTCATTGACAATATATATGTTGTCTTCGGAGAACAGGCTTACTACAATATTTTGAAATTCCCAGAGATACTAATTTTTCCCCATTATTAGCAGATACGTTTTTGTATTCTTATGAAGCAGGATTTATTTTAAAACTTCTACATGAAAAGAGGAAATATCTTGCTGTGACCTTCAATTTGACATTTAGATATATCAAAGAGGTTTTATCGATCAAAACTAATAATTTTCATATATACTTTGATTCGGTATATCCCAAAGAACTTGAAATAAAAGACACCATGGAGTCTGACACATCTGCTTCATATCTGGATATTATACTGGCAAAAGAACTGGCAAACTAAACTTCATGATAAACATGATAACTTCAACATTTCTATTGTCAAGTTCCCTCATTTATGTAGCAATATACAATCATCATATGCATATGGGGCTCATGTCTCACAGTTGATTCGATATACAAGAGCATTTTTTGTGTACGAAGAATTTCTAAAGCTAGGCAGGCTACTAACAAACAAGTCGGTGATACAAGGATATCTACAATCTTGTTGGAAGTCAACATTTCGCGAATTCTATGGTCGATACAATGACCTTGTTTGCAAATACAATCAGTGGTTGAATATTTCACACTGAACTAATTACGAATTTCTCTGTTTACCCGATCACGACAAGGAGCACACGACGAGTATGATTGCTCGTCAGGGGATGCTTATTCCTTTATGGCAACTGATCCCACTAATGTTTTTACAGGTCCGTATTTGCTCTGCTCGCATTTTGTTTTGTTTCATTGGTCTTTTGAGCATGATAAACTGTTCCTTATCTTTAAAAATAATAAGTTTGAAGTGTCTCCTTCACAGCATATTATAAGATAGGGAATTGGTTGAACATTTACTGGACTGTAATTTATCTGTGTTTGTAAGGTTGTTTATATTTACAATTTTGCAATTTTATCAAAGTCTGACAAGTTCAACCAAAGATTTCTGATTAACTAAAGAATAATCCGAATAAGTTAGAGAGGATATTATGGTGAATATTTTTCTCAGTGGTCCAAATAGTAATAATTTTGACTTTTAAGGTATGCAAAACATTAAGAATGTCACCATGATACAATTTAAGACTTTTTTTTTATTTTGCCTAATTTTATTAATTGTTCATTCATGTTATGTGTTGTTCGTCAGTGTTAATATTCCGTGTACTTATTTACTTAATGTTATTGCAATGATAATACTGTTGCATAATATATTTCATTTCGTTTTGCAATATTAATGATATTGAGTGTTCTCGTGCATGTGGTCAATATGGACATACGAAATAATTAAACTATCTGTAAAAATTGTTAAACCATTTAAAACTTAATCAATTTTGCCAAATTATCCCTAGATTGTTAAAATAAAAAAAGAGGAAAGCAAAGATAAACAAAATTAAGCAGCAAAGATGTTACACCATTTTGAAAAGGTTAGAAAATGATTATATAAACTTTTTATTCGATGAGATCAAACCATAACAAGTAGTTTCATTATACAAGCAATTAAATGATAATTAACAGATCATGATGGTTTTATTGATAATTTTAAAAATTTGAGTGTACATATCATCAACACAGATGTCATCGTGTCCCCAAGTCAGGTTACTCTCCTGGGCAAACAAGACATGGTCCCATGATAATTTAGGTCAGTTAATTATATATATATTTTAGATCAGTTAACTTACACTCTAATAAATCTTGCTACTTCTCAATTCTTTTCATAATTTTTACTTTTACTGGTTGTAGTAATGATTAAAGTACACAGATAATTTTCTAATTTTCCTCAGAGGTCAATAATTTTTTAAATGTCAAATACAGAAGAGATACCCAATCGTTACCATTCAATGGCAAGTGGATTAAATATGTGTCCTTCATTTCATTTTGACCATAGAAAGACTAATATTGACAAATCGACTTGGTTTTATTACGAACTCTACAAAATTGTTTGCCAAGGACATTTGACGCTAAATCATGAATAAATAACATCAGGCATTTATACTCTGTACATTTATTATTTTTGGTCAATGCATTTGTGTATTATATAATTATAGCCTAGTTCTTGACATCATTTAAAGGTATCTATGGTCTGTATCATTCAGTTTTCTGTTGTAAAACGCAGTACAACATATCTGTATATATACGTACATTAGTTTAGAATATAATTAAGCCTTGTGGCAATAAGGTCAATCCTCTTTGTTAATGGTTCTGATAGTTCAACCCAAGGTCAGATACTCCTAGTCTTCTAGTTTAATCAATCCTATCTGATATATCTGTTAAGTAATTGCGCATCTTTTTCCTTGTTCTGCGTACATGTAGGACGTGACAAGAATCTGTATTCTAAACGTATTATTCAACCGTGTACTTAACTTTTATTTTTTATACTGATACCAAATTTTTCTTTATCATGCACTCAAGGCATTCGTCAGTTATAGTAAAAAGTTAGGGCTTGGTCACACCTTTACCGGACAAATCCGTTCGACTCCGTTCGCATAGTTTCTTATTCGGTGAATACGTTCAGAGAGGTCCGATGAAGTTCGTTTGAGTAACTGGAACGGAAACCGTCGAAATAAGGTGTTCTGTTGAAGTCAGGTATATTCTTTTAAGGTCAGACGACACGTTCCTCAATGTACATTATTTCTCAAGAATTTACCATTGAAGTATTGCTACTTCAACTTGTTTCCTCACAAAAAATTGAGATACCTTATCAGGCATTTGTGCAAGATACCAGAGGATGGTGTTTCATATACAATTCTATTTGAAATCACTTGAATTGTCAACATCACATTTTTTTGTATTTATTTCCTAGGACATTTTGAAAACTGTTTAGAAATCACAAGATAATATTATAAATATTTATTATATATTGCAAGGAGAAAGAAAACAGATATTTGAGGAACGTGTAGTCAGATCTTAAAGTACTGTAGTATACATGCGTTTTGTACACAACTCATGAGCTTCTCCTATTCTTGACCGTTTTGCTTACGTTGATTTCCTTTGGATCACAAGTGGACAAATTACTGGTCGTTAAATAAACCGGACGTACTCTGGACACCGACCGCAGGACCGTTAGTCTAACTTGAGAAAATAGTATTGTCAGTTTCTCATGAATTGCGCATTCGTTTTATACGGTACTCATTCGTTACTGATACGATGAAGACCGTTAGTTGACTATTGCTTGTACATGTCTGGTAGTCGTTCGTTTTTTGTCAGTTTTATACGCCTAGAAAAAGCAGCAGGGGACAACTTTTATCAACATATTACCAACAAATTGCGTTCTGACGCCCTTTTTTCATCCATTTGAAGTCCATTAGGTAAGGTCGACGCATTTTATTGGCAATAGTAAAATGATTCCATCTCAGTCAATGAAGATTTAAACCTGCTGATAAGGACTCAAGAATGAAATTATTATATTACTCTTATTATCCCCCCAGAACGGAGTATGGGGGATATAGTAACGCGCGTGTGGGTGAGTGGAGGAGTGACTGTGTATCGGAAGTTTCGGAAGTAATAATTTATATCGGGATCGATCTGCTTTTTTGCGATGGGATGATCCGCTTTGCTGTACCCTTGTTTAAGAACTTCAGTTCCCATGCTAGCGATCATCGACTCTACCCTAAGTTCCAACTGGTAAATGAAAACAATTAAATTGAGTGAAATCAACACTATTTTATTCCACCCCAATTTATATTTCTACTCCAATAAATTCATAAATTTTTCACATAATATGCAGTTGTTAATTTCAAACATCGAGAGAAAAAAATCTATAATTTATTTAGCATATTGAAGACCAATAGCGACCCACCGTTTAGCCTTCGATCAACAAATAAACACTGACCATCCAATGAAATTAAGATCCTCCTGAGGCTTTAAATGGCCATGAAACGAACTGGTTGATCACAATTTACTTTGTCAAAGCTAGGTTAACACTGTTTCCTAATCCTTTGCATAATGTCTCAGTTCAGTGGAACATGGGAAGACAGAGAAGTGGACCCAAGTATGGGACCATTTATGGATGCGATAGGTAAGTAAACATTGTAATGAACCCGTAATTGTAATCAGTTCAAATTTCGATACTTATTTTTATCATTATTTGTGAGCTTGGTCTTTTCCCCATGGAAATAAAAAAAAAACCCCAACATAATTCTGTGTCAAATTCTAATTAAATCACAATCTTTATGCATAGATATATGTTAACACAAGTATTATTCATACGCTCATTTATAAAATGCAATCTTAAAAAAAACCAATAGAATAATTTATAATTTTCTTAGCGTCTAGGGAAAAAAAATTGTGTTTACAGACTTTCTTGTAAAGCATAGCCTAATATTTATTTTAAAGGATCTATATAAACGAGATATATCCCTTTGATTTGCAAAAAAATGTGTGAAACACTATCAAGTTTGAATACAAACAAGTAAATAAAAGAGACGCCTTTAATCTTAATTGATAATTCCTTTGGTTCATTGATAAGATAAAAAGAATAACTCCCGCTGAATGCTCAAGGCTTTAGATTTTTTTCTAACTAGGATTAGGAGAATACAAGGATAAATATATGGGCGCAAGATCGACGGCAACATACGATATAAACGGCAATAACTGGAAGGTGACGTGGAAAACCTCTCTGTTTCCGGATAATCCCATGACATATGACATTCAGGTCGGAAAAGAATTTGATGGTAAAGGCCCAGATGGTTCCGATGTAAAGGTATTACTGAATTTTTCTTATAATTTAGTTACTTGGTTGAAAAAATGGAATATATATAAAACGATATGAGTAATTAAATATCAATGCCAAAAATCAAAACTGAATAGGCACGAAGGACGTACTAACAAAAATTTCATCCAATGCATAATCATCACGAAGAATCTGAATTGGATTGCTTAAACATGAAATGTACAAATTCTATTTAGACAACTCTCACAGTAGTCAGCGACTGTGAAACAAAGGAACACGAGGTAACAAATTTTGAAGACGGGAAAAACCGGGAATTCATCATCACTAGAAAGGTTACCGGAGACGTTATGGATGTTGTAAGTGTCTGTAGTCGTATGGATACATAATACCAACAAAAATTTGATGCATACATTTTGGCTGATTTGGAATATATAGAAATGACATAAATAAATAGATTCCTTAAATATAAAGAAATTGCAGGATTTCGTTGGTGTTCAAATATGCAACTTTTTGCCATTTTCTATACATTTTTTTGCACACATTTTATGGCGTTATTACAAATTCTTACAAATTTTTTACAGTTACTTTGGCAAACATTATTCAAAAGTTATCTCTATGAACATATATCTAATAGATACATTGCTGATTTCTGAAAAAAAGATTGTTTGTGTTAATTATCATTAGGGTGGGTTGCAATAATAAGATGTGGTCAGAAAAATTAAAGTGATTGGTTGAGTATGTTTTTACTGTGTTTTAAACCTAGCCGGTGTATCTACCTGTACATGGCAATGCACGCTCAAAGAGCATGTTTTGCATGGGTTTAATATATTAGGTATTTCATGTGTATGGAAAGTTTTGCAAGTATTAAAACAAGGGTTCTTCGGATAATTGCTTAGCAATTAACAAGTCAACAAGTTCATTTTTTGAAAAAAATTAAACTAATCGTAGATTTATTGAATTTACAATCGTTAATATATATCTAGTTGAACGTTGTTAGAAATATTCCTCAACAAACTTTTGTCTCAAACATAAGAACGGTGAAAATGAATTTATTTTGTTGTTTTTCAGACGGTTGAAGCCGTTACTTCTAAGGCTACGATGAAAGGGAAAATGTACAGGAAGAAGTAGTCCAATGACCTCGTTTTGCCCGATCTATTAGGTACCAGCAAAATGTCAAATTCAGCAAACAGAAGGTCTATTACAAACTCCCGAATCGGACAATTACAAAACATTAGAGCGGTTGAGAAAAAAAGAAGAAGAACGGATTCCTAGCTTTACACTGATATTTAGAATTTCTCACACTAAAAATCTCCGGGAATCTTGGATGACTATTTACATATTATGAATCCCTTATGTTCCAAAAAAGCGATGTGTGCAAAAATTAAATTACTGAAAAGACAGAGTGTTTGTTTTTCTTTAAAATGTTTTAAGTATGACGCATTTGCAAACAGAAAACTTGAAAACTTGGATCTTTAATCTACTTCTAGAATTTCTATTCTCAGCTTATCTTGTTTGTAGTTTTCAGATATTTGTTTGTAAAATGAATTTAAGATCAGTTCCGAAGAATGAGCGTAGAAAGTATTTGATAAATTGCGAATATTGTGGCATAATCCTTACAGAAAAATTAGAATGTCAACGATACATCTATATATATGTTTAGATCTAAACGCCTCGATCTTTAAACAATTAAAATGCACTGCAGATGACTATAAACATCAAATGGATTAAATTGCTCAAAAACATTTCAGGAAAAAAATTCAACAACTACGATTGAGATGTATTGTAAAAGCTGTAAATAATTAGAATACGGCATGTTCAGACAGAGGACCTTTTGAAGGTCGATGTAGCAGCGATGTGTTCTGACCTATTTTCTCTTTGACAACAAAAGGTTTAATATTGACAAATCGACTCAATTTTGTAATCAATACAATTATTTGCTCTTAACACATAACATTCATCCAAAAGATAAACAAGATTGAATGTATATCAAAATATAGTTAATTATTATTTGCTATAACATGTATGAGGCCATTGGATTTTTCTACTATAGTGTATTAACTTTAGAATTATTAAGAAAGTAACAAACATTAATGTACAATTCTACAAAATGTGTTCTATCGTCAATATAAATGTTACATTAAAAAATTAAATCTAAAGTTTAAACTTATCTATAAAATTAAATTTCAGGACTTATACTTGATCATAGGAAAAAACTCCCTGCTGACTACGGTTGACATTTTCCATTTACATGTACTTCTGGGTCAAAAATATTTCCACTGAAATATTCAGTAGTAATGAACGCTTGAAAATAAAAATCGTTTGTGTTCGATATTCTATAAGGTTAGAACAAATGAAATGTATTTCCACTTGTAAATGTGAAACGAATAAAATAACTTCACAACAAAAAAATCATTATAATTTAGTAATTAGAAAAATGACCTTTTCATCAACTGACAATATTTTAAAAAAAGAAAAGAAAGAAAGAGGATAATTTCAGCAAAAAACCTTAATGAATTATCAAAACTTAAATCTAAAAAAAAGTCACCTGTGGGCCACACCATTCACTTGATAAAAGAACACTCTTCTTCCACCTTAACAATGAAGCTCTGATGACGAATTTTTAGACTGTGGGTACACTGTATAAGGTAAATGGATGGCTTTGAATGGAACATTTTCACTGTTCAAATCCATAGCATACATGTGTACATTTTTAAAGTAGAGCACTGTTGTACTTGAGGAGCATGTTTTCTTAACATTAAATATTATTTTTATTTACTTTTTTTAAGGATATTTTTTCTGTCAAACCTAAATCAACAATTATTTAGGGCGTTTGAAAATACATAATTTTACAAGCCCCTTCAGTGGCTTCATCGACAAGGGGAGCACGAACATTTGAAATGTGCACTGCAATTACAAACTTGAGACTTGTTATTTCTAAATAGTATTTTTATCCTTGAAGGTCCCATTTGAAAATCGCTCCAACACAATCATGGACCTACCCTGGATTTAGGTCAGAATCAGAAAAAAATTAACTCTACATTACCTGAAGAAACTTGAGTATAATTAATAGAAAGCTTTCCTAAATGCTCTCGATAAAAATTAAATTTGTTTCCTGATTACTTTATCTGGAATTTGAATCCCATCCTGTGTCTGCGTCCCTTGCTTAGCAAAAAACCCGATGATCCATTCTGGTTTATGCCACAAACCCACTGATGCCACAAGCCCAATTATCTATTGTAGTTTATGTCACAAGCCCAATCATCTATTGTAGTTTATGCTACAAGCCCAATTACCTATTGTGGTTTATGCCGCAAGCCCATGGAGCCATTTTTGGTGAACTCCACAAGCCCGTGGGTGGGCCATTTTGGTGTATGCCACAAGCCCAATGAGCCATTCCAGTGTATAAACACATGTTAAAACAGGAATAGTCCGACATCTACAGAGATTGAGTAATTTTAAAGTGCTTGAATACCTTGTCATTGTTCAAAATCATGTAACTTGTATAAACAAAATTAATGTTATAATCTCACACGATTTTGAATTTATTTAATTTTGCATCATTTGTATACGAGTTTGTATAAAGAGTTCATATATGGAGATGAAAGTATTAAACATGCGAATGTTGCTATCCTTAAAGCTATTCATAATTCAAGGCCAAATGATACAAACACTTTTTTTTTCAAAAAATCATGAAAATAACACCATACAAGTAAAATGAATAACGTTAACTGCATATATTTTAATTTTTTCATTCAAAGTTTCACTAATGTCCTATAAAGTGATTAAAAGTTGTATAGATTTAAAAGGATGATTGCAGAAATTTTATATTTTCATCATTTACTACCAGAAAAAGTTAAAAAATGTATACATGTATCAATGCAGGTATCTATTTTTTTTGGTTTGTATCATCTGTTCTCTAACTATCCTTAAACTTGATGAGCCTTAAGAAAAACCCTCAGTGAAAGATAGCGTAGATCTAGATCTGACCTTGAAATAAATGACTCATTCGTCCAGACAAACAGTTATCTTTAAATTTTCAACCTTGTATTGATTTCTTAAAAGAATATTTTAGACCATATAAAGAAAAACACAACGTCGATATATCAAACATAATCCTGCATATTCGGGTGTCGGGCAACGTAATGTGTAATCCAGAAACTTAAAAACATGCACTGTTTAAAATTAACACACAATGCAATTTAGATTTACAATGATTATAAACTGAAGCTCCGCTCATTATTCCTTGACCACACAAAACTGTATTTTAATGCATATAATCCTTTTTTACATTAAAAACCTCGATAATGACAAATCCATTCGGTTTTATATCCAGTACTACAAAACCATTTGAAACAATATTTTCTCTACATGCTCTGGTTGAAAATTTAATGAATTCATTCATTTACCAGTATCTGTGGATTTACTCATAGTTTTTTATCTCACCTGAGCCAAAGGCAGACGTGAGCTTTCCTGATCTATCTGTCTGTACACTTTTCACATTTTCGACTTCTTCTCAGGCACCACTGGAACAATTTGAACCAAACTCATCACAAAATATCCTTGGATAAAGGGGATTCCAATTTTTCTAATGAAGAGTCATGCCGTCTTCCAAGGGGAGATAATTAAGAATTACTGAAAATTTAATTGCATCTTTTAAAAATCTTCTCAAGAGCCACTGGGCCAAAAAAGATGAAACTTATGTCAAAGCATTCTCAGGTATTGTAAATTTAAGTTGTTCAAAACATGATCCCCTGGCATAGGTTGGGCCACAATGGATGATCCAAATTATGCATAGAAATATATAGGAAAAAATCCTTTAAAATCTTCTTCTCAAAAACAACAAAGGCATGAATAGTCATATTGAAATAGGAGCATCCTTAAGTGGTGTCGATTTACATGTAAATTTGTTCAAATCATATACCCCCAGGGGTATGATGTGGCCACAAAGACAAAATTTTACACAGAAATATATATAGGAAAAATCTTCTCAAGAATCACTGGATCAGAAGAGTTAAAACTTATGTGAAAGCTTCATTACATAGCTTAGATTGAAGATTCTTCAAATCATGACCGTCGGTGGAGGAAGGGTGAGGACATAATGGAATATCAAAGTTTTACATTTTTAGATAAGAATATAAAAATCTTTTAAAACCTTTTTCTCAAAACAGCAAAGGCGGGAATAGTCATATTTTGTATGGAAGCATCCCCAGGAAGTGTACATTCAAAATTGTTCAAAACATGGTCTGAAAGAGGGGATAGGTGGGGTATGGAGCTACAATGGGCGATCAAAGTTTCACAAAGGAAAAATCTTCAAAAACTCTTCCAAAAAATGAACTTGATTTGGAAACATCTTTAGGTAGAGTAGCTTCAAATTTGTTCAAATCATGACCCCCAGGGATAGGGTGGGACACAAGGGACGATCAAAATTTTACATAGGAATAAAGATATGGAAAAAATAATTCAAAATCTTCAAGAACGGCAAAGGGGTGATTAGTATTTATAGGATTTATAGGAAGCTTCCTCAGGTAGTGTATTTACAAGTTCAAATCATGACCCCCAGGGGTAGGTTGGATCAACAACAGGATATCAAAATTTTACATAGGAATATATAGGGCAAAATCTGCTGCTAAAGAACATTGAGTTCTTTAGAAGACTCAGGTAAGCATTGTGGCACAAGGACCTCTTGTTAGATCAAAGGCTTGTCATATATAATTTTAAAATATAGATATAAAGATATAAAATCTCATGACAAAGTCATAGTGTTCATTTAAGAACAGGGATACATCCTACACGTTAGTGATTTCGTTTCAAAGGAAAAAAAAAGGAAAAACTAATTTTGATTTTGAGGCAATTTTGCTAGACTTTTTTAAGTATCCAAGACACATTCTTCTAAACCATTGCATAGTTAAAAAGTTTTATGAGACAAAAAAAATCATTTATGTAATAAATATGCTATGCTCAGTATGTTCTCAAACTTCATAAAAAGTTTTTGTTGTTGATGGTGTTGATGGTGTTTTCTTGTAGAACATTTATTTGGTAACTGTACATGTATGTAAAATATGATCATACAAATAAAGTTAACTCCAGCTCTCATCATCAAAACTTTCGAAGACTATAGGATTCAGTATTTTCTTTTTAGAACAAAAGTTGAATTATCCTAATTATAAATTTAGATCGTTTAGCTGTTTTCATTAAATAATCAAGTGATCACACAATATTATTTTAAGCCGCACAAAATTCAAAACACGGCACTGGTTCAATCAATTGAATGATTCATCTTTACATATACAACTGGGTTGCGCTTTCAAATGTCTTTCGTGTTTGAAGCATTGAACAGACTAATTTAAAAAAAAAAAGCCTCAAAGACGAGAGAGAGAGAGAGAGAGAGAGAGAGAGAGAGTACAAAAATCATTCATTGCTAAAGTGTAAAGTTTTACCAGACTTGCAAATCCAGGTGAAAATCTAGTACGGTGACTTTAATAGAATTCCCAGACAAGAGAGTACAAAAATCATTTATTGCTAAAGTGTAAAGTTTTAACAAACCTTAGGAAATGTGTCTGCAAATCTAGGTAAAATTCTAGTACGGTAACTTTAATAAAAACGTTGGTCTTAAATATAAGGACCTCAACGGGTCACCGTATTGTTTTCAAGTGATAAGAAATACACATTATGCAATTTTATATAGTCATGTAGCAGACAAGCCTAAGCTTAGTTTACCTTAACCGGCGAGGCTTGCACGAATTTCAATTTTCTGAAAAATGTCTAAATTCAATGGAACATGGGAGGATAGAGAATTAGATCCGAGCTATGAAGCCTTCATGGATGCAATAGGTTAGTGGCTTTTAGTACATTTTTTCAGGAAAATATTCTATGCTTTTATGGTTTTAACATGCTTATATCTATGGATGGCAATCGCATAATTTTTTTAACCTATTAGTCGTAATTTTTCCCCATCAGGTAACCCGTCAATCGAACAGATGTACATGCAAGACTTGTTTGTATTTTTTATGAATCCCTGCAAAGCAATGTGTAGAAAAAACTAATGAATTCTTTTCTTTCAATCAAAGTAGAAAAAGATAACACTATTTACATGGACGTTTATTTCGCTATATATCTTAACATGAGTCTAACGATATTTTCATCGACATCCATAATCCTTGGAATAGAACAAAGACCCAAGGGCCACAACGCTCACCTCAGTTACTTTAACCACGCTGTTCTTCATCCGATTCTTGAATGATATTTAAATTTCCTTGAAAAAATTGTGACCCTATATTATGGCCCAATCCTAACTTGCAATTACGGAGGAGAAAAATCTTTTCCCGTATACATTTAATATGTAAAATTTGATCCTGAACTACTGATCAACTCTAACCTGGGTTTCAAATTTTAAAAAAATAAATAAATAAATTCACACAACATGGGAATGGTTCAAATTAATGGTTCTACTGTATTTCTTTAAAAGATTAAATAAAATTCTTATATAACTCTATGCAAAACTTTGATCCCCTATTGTGGCCCCACGGAACCTCCGGGGACCATGAGTTAAAATTTAAGAATCTACACTACCAAAGGAAGCCTTCACATAAGTTTCATCTTTCCTGGTCCAGTGGTTCTCGAGAAAGATATTTTTAATGATTTTTCTTATATATTTCAATGTAAAAAATTGATCCTTTATTGAAGATCCATCCTAACCCCAAGGGTTCATGATTTGAACAATTTACAATCTACATTATGTCTGGAAGCTTGCACATAAGTTTCATTTTTTTTATTCAAGTGGTTCTTGAAAAGAAAAAAATCAAAGACTTTTCTTGTATATTTCAATGTAAAATTTTGCTTCATCTTTTCTGGCCCTATAGTTCTTGAGAAGATTTTTTTAATGACCCCATGCTATTTTTGTCATTTCTTGATTATCTCCCCTTGGAAGCGGGTAAGGCCCTTCATTTGTATACTTTAAAATTCCCTTAAACCAAGAATGCTTTGTGCAGACTGGTTAGAATTGGCCCAGTGGTTCTTGAAAAAGAAGTCGAAAATGTTAAAAGTTTACAGACGGACGCCGGACAACTGGTGATCAGAAAAGCTCACTTGAGATTTCAGATCAGGTGAGCTAAAATGATTTCATCAACCACTGATGTTGACCGGCGACATCGCAACTTACTTGTATTAATATCGCTGTGACGGCACAAATGTTCCAGGAATACTTTCCTGAACGTGTCCGAATTTTACGCTATTATCATGTTACCACTGAAAGGGGTGGGGGTAAAGATTGTTTGATTTCAGGTTTTTGTACTCTCGGTTGTACAAACCGTGACGGTAGCTCAGTCGGTAGAGACAATTTTGTCGCCCCGGTCTCTATTAATATATCGCCTTGCTGTCGATGGTGGTGTTGACATTTCGCTGAATAAATTGCAAAGTTTTTTTCACTGATTTATAAAACTAAATCAATTACCCAAACCTGGGTTTTATTGTACGGACGATGTTTTCTGGAATTCGCCTTCAGCCTTAATACTCTCAACTCTATTGTATTACGTTGTTCAGCACATAGGACGATTTGTAATGTGCTTTTCATATTCTTCAAAGATCTACAATGATTTTTGTATGGATTCCGTTTGAATAAAAAATATCTATCGAGGAAATACTGATGTAAATGAGAACTGAATCCTGAAAATACAAGTCCACCCTCTGCTCCTCTTAGACATGAAACTTCTTTTCAATAAAACGGTTTTTTTTATTAAAACCAAATAAAGTTGATATAGATGAATGTTCTACAATTAAACACTGCTAAGTAAGTGATATTTGTTGTATCCCAGGACTGGGAGAATACAAGGAAAAATACAGGGGAGCAAGAACTACGTTAACATACGAAGTAAACGGCGAAAACTGGAAAATTACATGGCTCACTTCACTGTATCCCGACAACCCCATGACGTGCGACATTCAGATCGGAAAAGAGTTTGACACAAAAGGTCCTGATGGATCTGATGTTAAGGTAAATTCATTTCCTTGAAATTAAGAATATGCAACATTTTCTGTTGACAGTCAGTATCTGGAAATCTAAAAACAAGCTCACAAGTCTTCATATATCAATTTAAGAATGAAATGAAATCTGTTCATGATCTTTTATGTTTGACACTGCGACCGTTTGGGCTAGCGCAGTTGTGTATTTATTCTGAATTTCATTACTGTATTTACTGTGTTTAGCATCAAAAGCCTGAAAAGTGCAAAGAATATCTTTTGAAATAACCAATATGTTTACAGAGGAGAAAAAATATCATGTAGAGGACGATACTTCACATTTTGTTTTTAAGTGATTTACCTATTTTTGTCACATTCAGTGTCAAGCATCGATCTACCCAAGTTCCATTCAATTCATATTTATTCCGATTACCTAGCAATATAGAATATTTGTATAGTAAACTGGACAATATTTTCAGGCAACATTCACCGTAATAAGCGACTGTGAGATCAAAGAACACGAGATTACGAATACTGAAGACGGCAAAAACCGAGAATTCATCATCACCAGAAAGGTCAATGGAGATATTATGGATGTTGTAAGTTCTTTATTTTATAAAAAAAAAATACTTGTAAGCTATCATAAAAGAGTTAATTATTGATTAGGTGATAAAAAACATAAGTTGTAGCATCGAGGAAACTCAATAGCTGACTTGATTGTCTTGAACTTTGACCCGATTCAGCACAGTTTAGGATTCATTTTGTGGAAGATTATCAAACTTTCAGGCACTAAAAATCTTGCATCGTATAACCCTACCAACCAGTTCCTTTTTCATTATTTTGAATTTCTTGGTTAAACAATATGGCTTTGTAACAAGCAAAGGGTTTGCATCCGCTTTTGTCATAAACATAGTTGTTACAATAACCTTTGTCTTGGTTTTTTCCCGTTTATCTGTTGTGTTTTTCAGACTATGGAGGCCGTTACTTCTAAGGCTACGATGAAAGGGAAAATGTACAGAAAGAAGTAGTCCAAAGACTTGGTTAGCTTTATTCACTGGAATTTGACTTGGTTTGCTTTATTCACTGGAATGTTAGAAACGAACAGATACTTAGAAGTGTGAGAAGTGCACACCTGTTTGGTTACAAAAAACTAATACATGTATAACAGTTACATGTACTAGAGGACTGATTTATGCTTAAAAGTGTGATTCTAACTTGATTTTTGTTCACTTGTTAAAGTATAATATTCATCGATCAGTGAAATTGCATAAAATATGTCCCATAGTTGTGTTTTGTTAATCATTTTTACCAAAGTGCCAGTACTTAGATAAACGACCTTCATTTTCTGTGTGTAAAAAATGTTCAATGCCTCATACCTGTATTTAAATCTCCAAGTGTCAATACTTCCAGATAGTAAATGTAAAAATCTAGAACACAAGGATTTCAAAATCAGCGCCTTTATTCAATACTCTGTGTAAATACATGGAGGGTATCTAATGTACGAAAATGTCAATAAAATCTTGCGTATGGATTTAGATAAGCATATAAATTGTTATCAAGTTTGATAGTTTTCCTTTAGTTTGTCAATATTGGGAATAAAAAAGAGTTGCATATTAATCTGTTGATTGCAATATTCTTTTAAAGCTATAAAATTGCTAATAAGTTATCCTACTTAATTTTCGAATCAATGACAAGGCACTTGGTATTCAACTTAACTCCGCCCTCTTTTTTCAAAATTTTGAAATGACTGAAATATCCTCTGAATAGCAGAATTGTCCTTATTGTGTTAAACATTACAACTGTAGTGTAAGCTCAAGGATTTTGTACATAAATCACAGTTACTGGTAACTAAAAATCTGTCAGAAAACAGCTTGAAAAAAATACACGTCTAGGTCGATGTTAATACATATTCCTGTTGCGATTCAGAAAGTGCATCATGTAACCCCACAGGCCCTTAAAATACCCGCTTTTTCTATGAGTTTTATGGGGGGGGGGGGTCAAAAGTTATATACTTTTTGTGTCGCCTGCAGAGAAGAGTGACACTTAGGGATCAATTTACCCGGCGTCTGTCTGTCTGTTTGGCTGTCCGTCTGTAAGAGGGTAACAGGTATTGATTCGATATTTTGCAAATATATTGCCTAGCACTTGGGCTTTTGTAAAATATTATGATTATTGATCTCGTGAACCTTGAGCTTGATCTTTGACCTTCATTCAAAATAAATCATTGTGCCGATAAACAGCTTATTTTTGTCATTTAAAGAGGTAAGCATATGATATTTAGCATGTGCACTGTTTGCCATAAAACATTTGAAAAATACCAGCGTTACAGTCCACTTAACCTTGGACTTTGACCTACTTTGCAAAAAAACTCCTGACAGTTGATTTAACTTGTGTCTTTTGGGATCGGTATACCAAAAGGATCGTTGTTGACTGACAATTGCAGTAATCTCTTTAGGGGGATACTATGGTAAGAAAAGACAAAGGCAAAAGGAAATTTAAGAAATGTAATAAACAGAAAATTCAATGTTTTGTGGTTGGATATGGAATTTATTTCACTCGTGAGACAGGATTTTTTTTATATTTTCAATTTTTTCAGACAAATAGTCATTATAGGCACAATTGTAATTTAATTTCTGTTTAGTGAAATTGAACTTTTTTTGTTCAAAAATTCAGACAATATAGCCTTTGTAAAATCCGTTACGTCGAGGTTTTCGATTTTACTCCCTTTTCGGTTATAAAACGTCACAAAACAAGAAAAAACTGACCAAAGAGATTCTTTTGTAAAGAATCTTGAAATAGATGAGATGGTTAATCTGATCCATGTCTGTGTGCGAAGGATCTTCTTTTAGATTTTAAGAGTATACAGTTCATTTTTTTTTTTAGTTTTCTAGGTGTTCCCTGTAGATATGAACGGAATGCATGGAGATAACGAATAGTATTCAAGCTCAAAAGTCCATTAAACAATACAAGATAGGAGCAGAGCAAATACAGACCTCCAAAACATCAGAGGTGGAATCAGGTGCCATGAAGGAGTGAGCAATCCCTGTCGACCGGTCACACCCGCCGTGTGCTCATTGTCATGATCGGGTAGTAACAGAAAAATCTGTCGACAATTCAGTGTGTAAATAATGGCCTAACAATTAGCATGAAAAACGCCAGTGAGCATTTGACTTAACGATAAATTGTACTTGCTGACAAGGTCATTGTATCGACCATAGAACTTACGAAATAAGATTTTTAAGAATTTTTAGATTTTCAATTTTTTTTCATCCTGGAGGCCAATTTTTCTACAAAAACCTGGTTCCCATAACTCCTCTCATAGTTTACGTAGTAGCCAATTCATATTTTGGAATATTATTGGTGGTGCCATGTAGATGTACAATAAGGAATATCGGATTTTCCCTTTTCAACCTAAGTGACAACTGGAGGTTGACAAAAAAAAAAAAAAAAAAAAAAAAAAACCGACAATTTTCTACAAAACGTGGTTCCTAGAAATCTTTTCGAATTTTATTCACTTGCTAATCATCTATAATTATGTATATCCTTAGAAAAAAAAAGATTAAAATTGTGAGGGTGGAAAATGCCTTAAAGTAAAGTTTCATCATTGAAACACAGACTTTAGTTTCGTATCATTATATGTATTTTACAATTTTTGGGGGGCATTTTTCAGAGACAGCATAAGAATTGTTTTATTTGCAAATAAGATGCTTCAGGGGTTTAATTTACTGTCAATGAATGCCAAATAGCATTGTATCTAGCAAAATAAGAAATGCCACATGCCCGGATCTAGAGGGGGTCGGGAGGTCCGGACCCACCCCCCCCCCGCCCCCGGAATTTGCAGAGTTTTTAAAAGTATATACTGAAGCAAATAAAAAATGCATAAAAATGACTTTGAACCCCCTAGAAAACATGGACCCCAAAATCACCACCACGAAATAGTTTTTTACCTCTTTGGAAAGGAGTTAAGGTGTCATTGCTTTGCTTTTTATATATTTTTTATGCCCCCGGATCGAAAGATCCCGGGGGTATATTGTTTTTGTCCTGTCTGTCTGTTTGTCTGTCTGTCTGTTGTCAACTTTAACCTTGCCCATAACTTTTGATTGGTTGGAGCTATGACTTTCATACTTCACATGTGTATTCCTTGTGACAAGACCTTTCTTTGGATACCATCATATTTGACCTTTTGACCTTGACCTTGGAGTTTGACCCACTTTTGCAAATTTTTATGAGACTTTAACCTTAGCCATAACTTCTGAACAGTTGGTGCTTGGGGTTTCAAACTTCACATGTACATTTTTTGTGACATGGCCTTCCTTTGGATACCAACAACTTTGACCTTTTGACCTTGACCTTAGAGTTTGACCTACTTTTGAAAAACTTTAACCTTGGTCATAACTTTTGAATGGTTGGAACTAGGGCTTTCATACTTCATATATGTAATCCTTGTGACAGGACCTTCCTTGGACACCAACCACTTTGACCTTTTGACCTTGACCTTGGAGTTTGACCTACTTTTGAAAAACTTTAACCTTGGCCGTAACTTTTGATAGGTTGGAGCTAGGGCTTTCATACTTCACATATGTAATCCTTGTGACAAGACCTTCCTTTGGACACCAACCACTGTGACCCTTTGACCTTGACCTAGGAGTTTGACCTACTTTTGAAAAACTTTAACCTTGGCCATAACTTTTGAATGGTTTATGCTAGGGCTTTGTTACTTCACATATGTTTTCCTTGTGACATATCCTTCCTTTGGATACCAACCACTTTGACCCTTTGACCTTGACATAGGAGTTTGACCTACTTTTGAAAAACTTAAACCTTGGCCATAACTTTTGAATGGTTGGTGCTAGGGCTTTCATACTTCATATATGTAATCCTTGTGACAAGACCTTCCTTTGGATACCAACCACTTTGACCTTGACGTTTTACTTACTTTTAAAAAACTTTAACCATCGCCCTAACTTTTGAACAGTTGCAGCTAGGTCTTTCAAATTTCACAGGTATATTTCTCGAGACAAAACCTTTCTTTGGGTACCAACATTTTTTTATCTTTTGGCCTGGATTTTGACTTGCATTTGAGAAACTTTAACCTTCGCCATAAGCTGCCATACGGGGGCATCAGTGTTTCACAAACACGTCTTATTTATTATTATTTTTTTTTTTTGCTTGTCAGGAAATTCAATAAACATTGAATGTACTGTGCATCTGTTCATATTTTATGATTCATATTTTAAATTATCTCACAAAAATACAGTCAGTAAATACGTGTAAAAGTATTGAATAAGTCAGTAAATACGTGTATTTCCTAACTAAAATCAGTAAATACGTGTATTCCCTAAGCAAAATAGGAATTTCATGCATTTCGTAAAATTTAGTAAATACAAGAAATTCCTGATTACACATATTCACTGTAACATATCTACTACCAAATTATGAATAAATATCCAGATTAAGGGGGACATTACAAAATAGTAACAAAATGTCTGAGGATGATTTTTTGTGAATGGAGGATGCTTGTTGTACAGTGAACTTCACTCGGGGGGGGGGGGTTAGACGTAAGCGATATGATGTAAACTTTATGTTTTTTTTTTCAAAAGAAAAAGTTTTAGAAAGGATTTTTTACGCTAAAAAGGCCCGATTGGCAAAAATGAAATTTTCCAAACCTAATTCATGTCTACAGGTCACCACTCATCATATTCCGAAAGATGAATTGGCTACTGTGTAAATATAAGAGAATTCTGTGGAAGATGGTTGTGTAGAATAAAATATGAAGATAACGAACAGTATTCAATCTCGAAAGTCCAATGAAACGATACAAATTTGGTGCAGAGCAAACACGAACCTCAATATTTAGAGGTGGGATCAGGTGCCATGGAGGAGTGAGCATCCCCTGCCGACCGGTCACACTCGCCGTGTGCTCCTTGTCATGATCGAATAAAAAAAAAAAACCCGGAAAATCCGTAGACAGTTCCGTGTATAAGTAATGGTCTAACAATTAGTATGAAAAACATCAGTCAGCATTTGACTTAATGATAGGTTGTATGTGCGACAAGGTCACTGTTTCGACCGTAAAACTTGCGAAATGATGACTTCAAACGAGACTGTGTCCTTAGTTCATCAATTTATTTGTCAATAGCTTGCCTCGTTTTAGAAATTGTTCGAACGAAGAGCATGCTCTTACGTTTCGAATCAACTGGGAAACAAAAACCTCATATGCAGGTGATAAGGGTATTGCTACATAAGTACTGCAAGTTGGCGATTGAAAAATTGAAGTCATCACACTTATCATTTATCATAAACCTTTGTTGTAAGTTTAGCATTAAAGTGTTTTTCTAGTAAAATGTCCAAATATGAAACAGATGCATCCAACTCTGTGGTATCTTTTATTTCAAGTTCACTGGGATATATTGAGTCGACATATGAATGGAAGTAACTATTGTTAATTGATAATACGTCGTCGATATACAGTATCTAAATGTCGTATTGAATTCGAAGATAACAGTAAGTGTTTTCTTCTTCTCATGTAGAAGTTTTTGAATAAATTCTGCTTTATATAAATACAAAAATAGGTCTGCTAATAAGGGGGCGCAATTGGAACCAATGGGAATTCCAACAGATTGTTGGAAGACCTGATCTCCAAAATCTACATATATATTGTCCATCAGAAACTTGAGCATCTTTTTAATATCAACTTCAAATACATGTACTTGTGTGTACAATCAGAATGTTTTTAACAAGATAATTTTGCAAATGACAAGGTAAGTATATTTAAAAGTTCATTTTTATTGAAAAAGCAGCTGTCTATGATGTCAAAAGCCTGGACTTTAATTTATCGTTGGGTATGGTTGTATAAAGTGTTGAAAAGTCGAATGTTTTGAAGTTATTGAGTTTGTTAAAATTTTGTGATTTCAAATTTTCTAAAAGTTTCTTGGAGTTTTTAAGTATCCACATCTGATTTACGCCACTTCTCGAATATACAGTTGTACAGTACTCTTGAAGTTTCTCCTTCACTGCTGTAAATATTTTAGTGAGGAGTAATGTAAGAGGCTTCATAGAACATTTAATAGAACCCGCAATGTATCTTTGTTTGTAAGGATTTTTATGGAGATTTTGAATCCATTAGAAATATAGTAATTCAAATTCATTTTGATTGTTGGGAATACTAAAAATATTTAAAACTGACATAGGGTTTTGAAGAACTTCCTCCTTAGAAAGGGAACTAATGGTATGTTGGATTACCACTTGCAGAATTAAATCCTAGTTCCACTAAAATACAACTCAAATAATGAGCGTTCCAAACAAAGACAATATTGTGACCTGCTTTGTCAGCGGGGACCAGTATACTGATCGTGGAATCTACTCAATGTCTATTTCTTGTTTCCCTCCTGCATTGTCGAAGACAGGAGGATAAATGGTTTTCATATTGCCCCTCAACTGCTTGCTATTTCAACATCCATCTGATACATTTAATCCATTCTGACAAAGTGTCCGGGGATAATCTTCTACTGAATTCATAATATTTATGAAATTATGACGCCAATTGAAAGATCGGTGTTGCCTAAACTTTAGCCCTCTTATAATAAGTGACTTAACTACAGAACAGAACCAACTATGTTCTAAATGATGATTTGACTATACTGTTTAAAAAAAAAAAATAAAAGAGGGGTTTTCCCTTAACCTCCCCCCCCCCCCCCCCCGGCAGGGTAAAGAAACTTCTGCAGCACTTTTGCACATCTACAGGAGTAGAGAACATCAACATTAACATACCAAACTATAATTTGACTACTTCATAAATTAAAAAGGAACTCAGTGAATATGTTTTCGTACAAAAACGCCGTTTTTTAACCCCAAATTGGATCATAGATTATAAATAAAATTTCCCAGACCTTCATGCACATGAACAGGACATCACAATTCATATTTCAAAAGATGAATTGGCTACTTCATAAAATAAAACAGTAGGTTTAGGAACCAGATTTCTGTAGAAAAATGTCATTTTTCGACTCACAATTTGCCCAAAAGCTGTAAATGAAAATTCTCAAAGCTCATTGCATATCTACAGAACACCACTTATCATATTTCAGAAGATAGCTTTTGTGTTAAATATGAGGAGTTTGAAGAAGAAGATTTTGTAGAAAAACACTGTCCTTCAACCCTAATTGGCCACGGTGAAAATAAAAATTTTGAAACCTTATTGCACATCTACAGAACATCACAATTCATATTTCAAAAGATTAATTGGCTACTGCATTAAATGTCAGAGGAGTTCTAGTGTTGTAGAAAAAGGATTCTTTTCGAACCCCTCCCCCTTAAATCCTCCCTTGGGTGAAAACAGGACACCAATCATCTGGAACAATATTGCACATCGACAGGAGTAGAGTACATCACCATTACGTTGTAACAATAACAATCCAAAATACAATTTGACTACCTCATAGAATTATATAGGAATTCAGGGAACAGGTTTTTGTACAAAACAGTCTTTTTCAACCCCCAGTTAGCGCCACTGTGAAAATGAAAATTATAAAACCTTATTGCACATCTACAGTGCACCATTTATCACATTCCAAAAAGATGAATAGGCTATCTGCATTTTTAAGAAAATCTCAGATTTTGATACCAAATATAAAGAATTTAACGAAAAACATCCACCACATTTTAAGATTTCAGAAATATTGGTACATAAACATGTGTTTTTACATTTCACAAACACATTTTAAAGAAAGTTTGGGTGTATTGTTGTCATCCTGGTCCGTTCGTCAATCTGTCATACTTTCTTCCTCAAACTCCTCTCACATTTTATAAATTCCTACCATTTTTTATTCGAAAAAAAAAAGAAGTGATGTAATAACAGTGGCGTCACAATTTTGAAGTTTATCTACAGAATTCCATTTAAAAAATGCTGCTACCTCTAAATTTTATAGCCATACTTATCAATCATTATAACTTTACCTTGCCATGCCCAGTCAACTTATCGGGCTTTGACAAGTCTTACAGTAAGGTTTGATTGTCCATCGTGTTTTCTTTGACGAGAAAGGCTTTTTATTTCCTAGTGCTAGAGCATAGGTTTCACCCTTATCTGATATACATCAGATATGATTTTATCCTTGAACTGAACAGTTTGGAAAAAAAAATCATAAAAATGAATACCCTTAATTATTTTTATTACTTGAAAATATTAATGTTATTGCAGACGCGTAGCTAGGGACATTTTGATGTAGACTGCTGGGGCAAGCCCCCCTCCCCCCTTGAGTCGAAAGCAAAGCTTTGGGAGCTGGCTCCTGGATTTAATTTTTATCAACTGCACATTTTATTCACTTAAAATGTATGGTTTTTAATCGTTTTTGACAAAGGATTTTTTGTATCCTTTAAAATTTTCTTTTTTAATTAAAGATAAACTTCTTCATGATACATTTATGTCTCATTCTTCGTGAGTAAAAGGAAGGACAACTCTGGATAGAGATTGTGAAGATCCTTATCATCAGGAAAATTAATCAAAATAAATAAATTAATTAATTAAAAATAAAATAAAACAGTTTATTTGTATATATTTCCCCCATTTTACATTAAGTAAGCAACATGGATTTCTGTTCACCAACACTTGTCTTTGAACACTTTTCCTGGCTGGATAAAAATACATGTATAAGTGGTAGTCTGTTGAAAATGAAAAAGCTTAATTCAATATTTACACCTTTTCTTTCTCAATGTAAAAAATTATGAGTGTTTAGAGGATCCTCAAGAGTAAGTGTTAACAAATCCTGCATTGTACAAAGATTTGGTGAAGAATTCTATATACACATAGTCAGATCTTGTTTTAATCACTAAGTCAAGGATCAGTGGTCATCAACCAGCCTTGCTGGAAAGTGTCTTCTGAATCAAAGTTATGGTATAGACAATAATTCTGAACACCATTATCCAAACAGTTACGGTTGATGGTAATGAATTCCTCTGTGTGAATTTTTGCAATCCGTGCTGTATGAGATTAAGCAAAACACGAAGTTTCAAATCTCTTGAAACCCCTGTGATCATGATCCTCCAACGACATATTATTGAAGCCATGACACACCCTTTTCCAAAAGAAATTCTGTGTCGAGTTATTACATAAATATTATAATAATAATAACAGCAACTTGATCCGAAGAGTCGTATCACGTCGAGTTGAAAGGCATGGATCATCCAATTAACCGAGACGCGAATCGTCGAGTTTGATCTGATGATCCGCTCCTGTCAATTTGACGTGATAGGTACGGCTCTTCGGATCAAGTTACTGTTATGATGATAAATTTATTATATACCCCTCTATTATTAGCTAAATATATTAAAGAAAAACTTTTGAGACCAATTATACAACTTTTAACTATTAAACAAAACACTCTTTCATGGAACTTCTTGGTGCGCAAGAAAATAATGTGTGTGTACTAGAGATGGGTGATATGGATTCAGAAAACCACAGGGTGCTGATCCCACCGTCACATGATTGCGCATCTTCGCTAGCCAAGTGTTTCTGATCTCTCCTCACAAACCCTTGGCCTATGGTGCTGTCAAAAGTCGGGACCGTTTACGTCACGTGATCTCGAATCTTACAACACACGCACAGTTAGCGTCATCGACAGAAATAAAAAGCGAATTTAAAAATTAAAGTGTTCAGAGAATAATGAACAAGACGGTATCGAGCGATGTTTATTTGTTATTTAGGATGCAAATCTTCGTCTGCAATGAAGATTTCTGATCAAATTATTTGCATATCAACTTAAAATTGGATGACACAATAGCTAGTTATAGAATGGCATGTTATCTTACGGATCGTTGTTTAATTGTGTTTTTCATTCCCGAGGCTAAAGCAGATTTCGTCATTTACAAAAGCAAATGCTGACTGGTCGAAAGATATCAATCAACTCCAATCACAACTCGAGAAAAAAATCCCAAATTGTTTTAACACCGTAGGCCAAGGGTTTGTGAGGAGAGTAGCGGATCAGAAACCTTGGCTAGCAAAGATGATGAGTGCGTGAAATCAACAGTAAATTTGAGTGATACACAGTTGGGTATATAATAAGAATGAGATTCTACAGTCCTTGAATTTGTTCGGAATCTGAATTACTTAAATCTTTCCATTTGTCTGTCAGCTTAAGTTGACCAGGAAAAAGTATGGATTCGCTTCTGTACGCAGCTTCCTGTTTCGGAAGTAAAAGGACAGCGTACATGAAGACGAAGAACGTCTAATATTCATAATGATAAGCTAGAATTCTAGGAATTGTTTTTCATGATAGATTCTTCACTATTATACATTTTAAAATACCTTTTAATTATTTACATCTAAATATATCTGTACCTATTTCACAAATATTTTTCTCTTCAATAAAAAGAGAATTTCGTGGTTTGTAATTCATAAAATTGTATTTAAAAATTTCAATCATCAACATCCACCTATTCATGTACAACTAATAACAGCTATACGAAACACAACAGAGAACTTGGTCACATCCTGGTCAAGCTTTGCTTTGCTTGACGTTTCCACTACTTCTCAACGTAGCCTGGAGTCTCTGTTGGTCACCCTGTCGGTACCAGCGATAGGAACTGGAGTTTGTTCGTCTATAAACCCAGAAAATAGTCATTCCAGCCCCTAGCACCGCAAAAATCACCCCTATCATCACCACAACAATAAACAATGCCATCTTCTTCTCCTCTTCTATATCTACAACGACAACATTGCCAAGTCTTCGACCCAGAATATTTTACTTCTAAGCAATGCTCGTTATAGCACAGTCGCCATTTTCTCTAATTAAAGAGTCAGAATTTTAAACAAAGGGGATATGACTTCTTTTTCATTATCTCCATTAATATATTTTTTTCAAGACTGAGGCACAAATAATCTTGAACAAAAAAGATGAATGTGTTTTTATACCCCTATACGGCGGAAATGATTTGATATCTCATACATGTAATATATACATTCAATTCAGGATTTACCTTCGATAATTGTTTCAGCATTCTTCAGTACACCAGACACTGTAACAGAAGCAATGGGTGACAGGTGCTCCGAGTTTTTCATTGTTTACACCATGCAGCTCAGCTCAAAATTCTTGAATACGAAATGAAATGTGTCTATTATTTATTATATATACATTGTATACTCCTTTTTACATGTATGGGCTTCTTGTTATATTATTTATACATCATATTTTCCTATTTTCTCTCTCTACAATATACAATGTCTGTACGTTTATAAGAATAAAGTGATCGTCATATCACACACATATTGACTGGGGTTGAGGGACATTGATTATGTTAGCTCCGAAGGGATGAAATATTGCGCGACTCGGAGCGGAGAGCAATATTTTCGTCCCGAGGGGGGGGGGGTTAACAAAATCAATTTTGCCCCAATATTGTTAAAAAAAAATGTATTGACGATGATTTTCTAAAGAGAACTTTGAAAAAATTTAGTCAGGTTCGTATGTATGAACTATTTTTATTGAGGGAACTCAAAAATTTGGAGAGTGACCTATGGCAAACATGAACATTTTTTAAGGGTGGGGATGGGGTGTGTTGCTCAAATATAATGGAAAACGATGTTAAAATGGGGATATTACCCAAATAAGTCTTCTATAGATCGAATAGGTTTGTGAGTTATTTTAGCTAGGTGATTTATCTATATAAAAGTAATATCTAACAGCAAAAAAAAAAAAAAAAGAAGGATTTATTCATCTTTGCTAAATTTTGGGTCAATAAGGGGTGGAGGTGGGGATCGAAATCGCCGGTACATTTTTTTGTTGTTGCAAAAATAGAATATGTAGAATAACCCTGCTGTGCTTTAGTACACTGAATTCTAACTTTATTCCTACGTACTCGTATGTAAATATTTGACTTATCGTGTCCATCCTAGCACATGGATAATGATTTAAACAAATTTGAACCTACGCTTTATAACGTTGCTTGCAGACTAATTTGACATATAATGCTATATTACTCTTAAGAAGAACAAAGTAAAGATTTCTCAAAAAAAAGTTTTTCCCTTGTAAAACTTTCATTTTCTCTTATGAGTCATGAATATTGAAGATCCCTATCAACACTGTAAAAATGTACACTTAGTTTCATCGCTTAAGAACCAAGAATACTTTATCAGATTTTTTCAGGTCGAATCACTTCAAACACACCAGAGAGAGGACTATCTAAGTTTTTAGAACTTGTGTCCAATCCCTTTGACACATTGTCAATAAACTATGTTCAAAACAAACACATCAGAAAATTATGCATAAACATTACACTTATTTCTTAATTATTTTTATACTCAGGACACTTTTTCCAGGGGTGGGGTGAGGGTGGGAATGAGAGCTATATTGCGTCAATGTTATATGTAGTTCATAAAAATTGGGGTAGAATAAAATTTTTGCAAATGAGAGTAACAAATTTGTAAACCCCTTCTTGTTATACATTCAGAGGCCTATATATTATATAATTAAAATGACTTTTTTTACTTACTATTAGATGCACATGACTTTATACTCTATATGATGATTAGAATCTGCATTATAAATATCCTTGACACCACTACTGACTGGAGATATTATACATAAACTCAAATCTTTCTACGTACGACTGACCCCAAAACAAGTAAAATGCCTAAAATATCACCCTTGTCTTATCTCTGACAATGTAAAGTGTATTTATGATACCAGGTCACGTTTGAGATGTCACCGATACCACTTGGGCGGATCTGGGATTTTTTAAAGTGTGCACTTGTATAATTTACGTTTAAGTATTAAAAGCATGTATAATGGAGTGTATGTGAATTAAAACCAAACTGTATGATGTACGTTGTTAAGATTAAAATAAAGTATCCCCATTTGTACACAAACGCCGGCTATTATGTATACCGTCCAACTGATAAGAAAACTTTAACTGTACGTGGTAAAGCATGCAGTTTCGTTAACAATATGCAACCATACAAGATAAAGTAACAAAAGGACGGCCTGTTTACTAAAACCCGTAAAACAGCCCATTATTTTTTTTTCAACTTCTACCCCTCTCCTGCCTATTAGACCACTTTGTAAGGAGACTTCTTCGTTGCTTTCACTAATATATATTTTTTTCAATCTTTACAGCGATGTAATATATAAACCTAGCTTTTCTTTTAAATTACAGCAAAATGAACGACTATACATGCGAATCATTCATCACACATCTATTACAAATAATTCATATAAACAAATATTGACTGATATCAACGTGCATATAAATGATATTTACATCAAACATGTCAGTTTAAGTGCAATTGCGGTAAACAAAGTAAAATGTCTATGTAAATTGTACATACTTACTTTTGAACGTTTCCAAATGAACGGAGCTCATTCCTTCTAACGGTCATTGATTGTTACGTCATTGTCTCCGGCAGGTGATCGAATCGGGTACTTACGTGAACTTTTTATCGCCGAAAGAAATTTTGAAGAAATCAGTTACCATAAACATTAAAATTAACCACTTTCGGTGAGCATTGAGCAAGACTGTAGTAAATATTTTGAACGGAATGCAGGGGGAAAATTAAATAGCCGAGTAGATACACGTGACTTGAAAATTAAAGATATAATAATCAAAAAGGATATAGTTAGATTTTTTCACATAGATGTGGTCTGTTCATTGTGTAGGTATCGAATCAACAAGGAAATGAGACGAGGGTTAATGTAACGTATAAACTGGCGGATCCGCCACTGATTGCAGAAACGTACAGGATCTAACCGTAACATCCGCATCCTGGTTAGTATTGATAAAGCAAACATATATAGTTACTATAATCCAGCGAAATGTCGCTTAAGTTAACATTTTTTTCATCTCAAGGACTATTTATTATTTTATTGGTTTATACGGTCTCATCAGGTAAGTCGTTATTTCATCAAATCATGACTTAAGCTAAATATATTAGTTTGGAATTTAATAGCATATAGAAAATAAAAGAGATTTTCAAGTTATTTGCAATCACAAAATCGTAAAAGCTAATAAGCTGATGAGTTGGTCAAATGGTGTTCAACATTTTATAACAATGGAGAAGTTTTATTTCGATCATTAAGAAGAAATACATTCATATAAAGCTTGTACATTGCATTTTCACAATATTGTTTTTATAACATATGTAGCATTTTTAAAAAGAAAATCATTAACTCCAACTCTGTAAGAATTTTTAAAATGAACAACATTGATGTTAAAACTTTGTTACATTTAAGTTTAAAAATTTAGAGAATTTACAACTATAGCAATAGTAGCTATCCGAAAAAGCTCATTCCAAATCTTCTTTGACAAAAATGTCCATGTTTAAACTTTATACACAGTGTACTTTTCTTTTTTAAAATAATTTATTTTTATCTTTACACGAAAATGTACACAAAATAAAATTAGAACTTAAAGGAAAAAAATAAAAGCGAATGAGAAAAGGATCTTCAGCTCAGTTATAAATTTTATTTTGAAGCTGAGATATCGAATGTCATCACGTCGGAGAATTACCCCCTGAAGTACCCCTCCTTGTCCAACCGAGTGTACAGGTTCGAGATTCCGGGGGCAGACCGTATACTGATTACATTTACAAACTTTTCAATCGAGTACAGCTTCAATTGCAACGCAGATGCATTGGAGGTACGTATTGCATGTGTACTAAATGATACTGTTGACAATAGTTCTAGATTTTTATTTGATTTCCAAGCACTGATATTACTACAAATAATTTTCAATTACCACCATATACTTCTTTGATTTGCACGCATGCGCTTGTGGACAGGACCCCCCTTTCAATAATCAGTCTTGTTGAAATAGCAATATTTCAAACACGAATTCTTAGGAAAAATTGTAAAGCATTAAGGAACGTATCGTCTGTCCTTAATAATGGATTTTGAAAACAATAAAGAGCAACTATTTAGAGCTTTTGATCAGAGACAATTTATGTCTCTGTTTTGAAATATTTTATAATATAATGAGCATGATATTTAAATAAAACATTTATTCTTTTTCTATTTTTTTCCTAATTTTTCATATACAACACATCGTATATGTGCCCTACAAGAATAATTTATGAAACATAAATTTAAAAAAAAAAAACCTCGGTCCGGGTTTATATTTTTAGAATTTTTCTTTCTTTTTTTTTTTTTTGGTTGGGTTGGGGGGAGACACCTGTGGATTTGCAGTGGAACTTTCATCATTAGTATAGTAAAATATGTGTTAAATTACACATTGTATACTTCATATTTGAATGTTCATGACAACTTTCAAACGATTGAATCAATTTACAGATTTTCTACAGCTCTGATAACACTTATAAATTCCTTACAAATTACTGTGGATCATGGGAGCCGTTTTCTCTAGTGATGAATTCCCCAAAAGGAGCATTCAGAATGAGATCAGACTCGGCGGTAGAAAGCCAGGGTTTCCGCGCAGAGTATTTGGCGATTCAGGGAGGTAAGTTATATCGGTACCCCTTCCTACCCCATCAAAAATTAAAAAAAAAATGTAACTACAATCTGATAACAAATCTATTTTTTAAGAGTTAAAATGTCGCAAAAATTTCATATCCGATATTTTTTTTCATAAACCTTTGAAATGACAACAAAAAAGATATCAGTAAAAAATACATGTATAAGTAATTCTAGTTGCTAAGCTCCAATATTTTTCTCTAAAACCAAAATTTAAAACAATTCTTTCAACAGATTGTGATAGGACGGTGAACAATACAGAGGGAATCTTGATGTCACCGCGTTACCATAACAAATACCCGAACAATGTCGACCACTACGTCACCATATTAAACCGGAATGGGTCGAGAATCGTTCTCCGATTCACCGTCTTTGACATTCATCCTTCTGACTTCTTAGAGGTATTTTTTCAGTTTATATATATATTAGTAAATTTAAAAAAAAGTTGATCTTGAAATAGTTAAAAAAAAAAAAATTAAAAACAGTGAGATGTTAAAAACTTTATTTAAACTTAACTATAACCCTAGTTTCAATTAAGTTTTAAACTTTTAAAATAACAGCTGAGCTTATTAATTTAGATCTTTATGTTTTTTTTAAATAATAGGTACAGGATGGGACTAGTCCATTTTCACCTGTTTTAGAAACATTATCCGGTAACACCCTCCCAGATACTATATATAGTTACGGAGATGGTCTTCGACTTCATTTGAAGTCAGATTTCTATTTTACAAGAGCTGGATACATAGTAAACTATACAGGTAAGTTTGTCTGGTAAATTTCCTTTCAATAACGTATTTTTTCTTTTACATGATTTTTTAAAAAGAAAACAGAACTTGGAGAAAATCAACAGCCATGACGACATACAAATATTTATCTTTCTTAAAGAAAATTAAAATAAAAAAGGGAAGCAAACAAACAAGATGAAATCTAATTCAGCGTCAAGTTTTCCTGACAAGTATACATGAATTTTATAAATACTTGGAAACCTTTTTTCTTGTGCCTAGAATTAAAGTAACCAGGCCTATTCACTAGTAGATGTGATAAGAACTAAAATTTATCTCAGATTCTAAATATTTCAATTTTCAGTGGAAGAGGTAAAAGAATGCCTATATACAGACAGAGGAACGGAGTACATAGGGACGGAGAGCGTAACAGAGTCAGGAATCCCATGTATGAACTGGAAAAATTTAAACAAGTCTTATGGATTTCAGCACCTTCCCAGAAACTTTTGCCGGAACCCGGATGGACGTAAATCGCCTTGGTGTTATTCATCTCCAGGAGTGGTGGGCTACTGCTCAATTAAAAAATGTCGTATGTTTGTATATACACACTTGAAAATACTATTTATAGTTTTATGTCATCGTCACAACGCATGCCTTCATAATCCACTTGTGTCATGGGCATGGGAGTAAAAAAAAAATAAGAAACCGTTAACGCGACTTATGACGATGATTATTTTCAAAAATAAAAATAATATTGACAGTATCTTACATTAAACGTTACATGTAATGACATTCAGGAAATCATAATAAATACATGTGTAAGTTAAATCTGACCCCTACCTTCACTCCCGGGCAAATAAAATTATGATGAAAATAAATCCCAGAAACTAATTGAAATAAAGTCTAAGATGGAGGATTATTCAAGTCCTCTAAATAAATATTAACGCTACAGCAAAGTATTCTTTAGCACTTTTAAAATATTTATCCTCACAGAAAATCCCATAGAACAAACTACTCAATTAGCCAGTAAAACAGAAAACACAGTTGAAATCGTGAAATCAGAAGTTTCTGGACAAAAGGAGAATGGAGTCACGAAAGCAACCCCAAGAGAAACAAGAAGTGAGTAAAAATTGAAAATCGTCAGTATAATGCCATTTTCGCGTTTAAAAATTATTCTCATTTTTAAAAAGTAATTTATTTAAAAGTCGTTGACAACATACGGACTGAGATATATAATGTTCCATAGGAAATAGCGTGTAGAAAATATAATTATATTCTTTTGTCAACAGAAACTACTACAAGAATTCCGAAGCCGGTCGGGAAACCCGACGACACTGGTGAAGACCACTTCAACAATGGCGGAGTTGATTCTCCAAACAGAGACTTATTAGGTGAGGAAGTTTCATAGATTAAGTTTTATATTAAGTTTTTCCATTAAACAAAAATGTGCAGATATTTTATTTTTTGTCAGAATAAATGGTATGGATACTATCCTATACATGTGAATTAGCTATACCTACACGTCTTTTAATCAACAATATAAAGCAAGTCAAAAATATAATTTTTAGAGAAAAGACTTTGTCCTAACAACTCTGTAAAATACCGCACGTAATAACCCCCCCTTTTTTTTTTGCAGTGCCAATAACTGTAGGAGGTGTCTCGTTTTTTGTGGCAGTCCTGGCACTGCTTCTACTTATCGCTAAAAGGAAACATATGTAAGTACATTTATAACACCTGTCTGAAATCAAAATATATAATTTAATGTGATCTTGTGTTCTAAATATGAGAGATATACTTGTAAGTTGGAATGATCATTAGTCATCCCTTGAATGACACGTTTTAAACTTTGTGATCAAGACTTTTATTAGCGACTCTTCAGTGAAGATTTCCTTCCCTTATGTAACCATTGGTTAATTTCTAAACGTTCGTGCATTATAATTTAGGAGAAACAGTCGCACTCGCAGTGTCCAAAGCTCCCCAGACCTACACCAAATAGATGAGATGGCATCCACCACAACATCCGGGGAAGTTAGATATGGCCGTTCGAAGTATCACCCGAGTAACATACACATCCCGTCCGAAGAGATCACTTATACTGCCATCGATAATGTGGAGACAAACACCAATCGGTCAGATAGTTCTACGTCGGGAAGTTTGGATCCCATGGATACGACGTTAAGAAGATTCCGTGATGGCAAACGACTAGCTATGCATTTTGATGAGGACGGTTACGGCATCGTTGACGATGAGATTAAAGATGGATTTGACGATAAGAGATTTGACTTGAAGAGAACACGAGATGGCGACTACGATCACCTGAGTTCTTTCAAAGTAAAATGGCGGAAAGCAGATGAAGAAACAGAAGCCTTGTATGATCACTGTCAGGCAGAAATAATTCGGGAAAGTAAACAGGGCAGTGATATTGATGACACTTATGATCACACAAGCACAGTGCTTATGAACAAAGTTAGAAAAAGTAAAGACCAATCTGCCTCAGAGTCTAATATTTACCAAGACTGTATGTCTGAAAAAGTCACAAGCATTTGAATGGTGGAAGAAGGATTAATTCTGACTGTGATAAGAAAACAAGATTTGTATATATTTTAGACAAATTAATATGTACTTGAAAACAACATGCACAATTGGCAGGGATCATATAGCCGTCAACTTTTCATTTTCAGAAACAAATACTACTGTACCATCCCGATAAAGTGAAAATTAAAGTAACTTCATTCGATTCTCAATATATGTTATAAAATAATATATGGAACATGGACGGTTAGTGAGTACATGCAGTGGTACATGTATCTGAATCATATGTAATCTTTTCAAATGATATACCAAAAAATAAAACAAACAAACAAAAAAAGACACAGCTGAATTACAACAGAGGAAAGTTAGAAGAAAGCAATCAGCGATGGAAAAAAGGCAAAGGTCCAAGTGAAAATTTTAGTACAACAGGAAAATGCGTTTAATTTCAAAAAACACAAATATCTATAAGGGGATGTTATACGGGATAAAAGTATATCCAGTATTGCCTTCTTAGAAATATTTATTGGTTTCCTACATCTGAAAAAAATGTATACAAATACTACACCTTTAATTTGTGAAGAAGAGTGTGAAAGATTCATTTCAGTGATACTTGATTTGTGAAGCTAGAAAGATGAATTATTATTATAGTGGTGTTTTATTCATTTGTTATGTAAGAAAATAAAAAAAAATTATTTAGTGATATTCTATACAAATAATATGCATACATATACACCAATTTTGGTTTATATTTAAAGTAAATCAACGCGTACATTTAACTGTTTTTTATACAAAAGACTGAATAATGTTTAATAAACGAGGTTGTAATATTTTGCGATTCTGCGTTCCATAATTAAGCTGTGCAAAATGTTTTTAATTTTCAACTTAATTTAATGAAAAGGATATCGTTTTATACTATACATTCTAGGACAGATCCCATCCTTTGATTTCTGTCTAATTCTACTAGTACTCTAATGGGTAAGTACAACTTTTAACTTTATACTTGCATGTGAGGAATTTAAAAACTGCTAGATTTCACTTTAAGGATATCCGCTCCTCTGCCAGGAATGATACAGTGTAACTATTAAAATTATGATTTAATTTAAAATGTATGAAAATGAAGTTTCAAATTGAAAATTTTTTCGTGCAACAATTTTTATTTCATGTATCTCAATATGATTCAAAATTCTTTGATGTCTTCGAAACGGTCTTGTAAAAAGTTGATATTTGTGCCCCATACTTTTTTTTTTTTTTTTTTTTTTTTTTAGAGAAATCGAATTTCCTATAATCTAACCTAAGATACATGCTTATTAAGCATGCTATGAAATTAAGAGTGGTCTGATGTCCTGCAATGATAGCACAAGTTTTTAGACCATGTTTATACAATAACGATTGAAGTAAATAGAACTAAAATACCATATAAGTATTAAAAAAAATTGCATTTTTAGAATGCCTGGATACTTACATTTTTTTTCTCTCCCAAAATATATTTGTAGGTCAATAAGAAAAAGCATAAGCATACCTTATGCTTTTATTTGCGTTTCCTGAATATATATTTGAGATTTGAATTTTTTTCCTTTTTAACATCATGATGATTTTTGAAGAAATACCATATGAAAATACACATTACTTTGTGAATTCCGAGACATTTTTGTGAACATTTTCAATTAATTAACAGCTACTTTTTCAGAACCTTTAAATTAAATAGCACAGAATCGGTATTAGTTCATGTATTGAATGTTCCACTCAGAATGGAAAAGCGTATCAAATATATGTACACAATATTAGTACTTATTTAAAGCTTTCTTTTCTCATTATTTAATATTCTAATTAAGGATTAAATTGTACGCATATTCCATGTACTAGAATCTACATTAGTTTTATCTAATCACCGCCATCCACACTACGGAATTCAGTATTTATTGCGTCAAGCGTGTTTACTTCCGTGTTTTTGTTTACAGTAGTGAGTATGTATTATCTTTCTAGAGGATGTTACAAACTTTTGACCATGAGAATGAATCATAGTTAGCTTCATATAACAGTATGTAAAGCAATGTTAATAGGTCATGTAACTGTCTTATGACTAAATGTTGAGAATGAATATTACCTCATGATTTTATGACTTGTTTTCTAAAAATGTTCTAAAGGGTCTAAGGACAAAATTCTTAAAATCAAATCCAGTTAAGTTTAAGTAAACTAAGAAAGAAGACTGGGTGAATGATATTGACTTGTGTAAAAAAGGATGTTTGCATTGTTTGTTTTTGTTCGTTGTTTTTAAATAAAAATCGAAAATAAACAAGAAAATCGATCAGAGCAATAAATTAATTTTTTTCAAACGAAATATTACAGGTATATATATTACATGTAAATAAGTGGTACTGCTCGACCCTATATACTTTACAAATCTTTTCCCTCCGAGATAGAAAATGAGCAACTCCTGAGATTAATTGGAAAATTGATTGTGAATTTCTTTGCCTCTGGAACAAATTATATATGAATTTACATAAAAGACGGATTTTTTAAAGCTTAATCTATTAATAATATAGATAAAGACATTTAATATCGTCAAATCCCGATATATTGTATCGTTATTTAAAACACGAGGTAACTTTACAAATGTCTACCACAGTTATTGTATTTATTAAAGCAATTATTTTACCAGTACCAACAAAGCATAGAGGGTGGTTTAAGTATTTGAAATAAAAAAAAAAAATTTAAAAAAATGATGATTTCCAGGGAAAAACTGTCGAGCTGTGCAGATCGCAGATCAAACTGTTCATGTTGCAACACATGTTTAACTCGAAGAAAGAAATGGTGTTTTACTCTTGATACTAAAAAATGAAACCTCCAATTGGTTAAACTCAAATTAAAGAAAGCATTAAAATTGTACGTTCGAACATTTCCAGGAAAGAACGACATGCTGTTAATGAGTGTTATACATTGTTTTGTAACCTTTTAGGTGTTATTTCAACACATATAAATGACGTTGAATCTACAATTAGTAAAGCACTCATCAAACGAAACGTACCATGGGATTTAGAATTCTGTTCAACATCTGCCTTCTTTCTATTGTTGGCAGAATTGTTGCTTTCAGCAGTAAGTACGGTACATTATCAATATTTTTAATGATTTTTTTGTTATCTTTTTGAGGAGTAGTTTCCTATTCTTCAGTATAATTCTTAGTTCTTTTATAATCTTTAAATAATTGTAATTCAAAATACCCTTAAACATTATGATTATTACGTTTCCATTACAGATCCCTGGTACTGCGAACCTTATATGTGTCCCCAGGTCCAGATTCGTCTTGGCTGTGCCAGGCCCACATACGACAAACTGGGATGTCCAGCATGTGACGTAGACATATGTGGTATACACGCTTTACATAAAATACAAATTCAATTAAGTTGCATGCCTTTGTCTTAAATGAACACGAGAATTGCTGTTCCATTTTAATAGACGACAAACTTGTACCTTCCTTTTTGTACAGTTTATGTGTATTAGTAAAGTTCAGCAAACTTATTATTTCATTTAAGCCTAACTGAATGTATATCATTAATGAACTATGTTTCATTTTTATAATGCATATCAGGACCGAATTCATGCCCCGTGCCTGGCGGCTGTCCCTGGATAAAGCCTATGATGTATGGATGATAACAAAGAGGATGTAATAGGTCTGGCGAAACAGTGATCAACTATACAATGTAAAATTCTACCATTTTTTAAAACAAAATTCATAAATTTTCTCTTTTGTTTTGCTTTTTTGAAAGAATATAGTGAGGCCTGGGTTATGGAAATCAATAAACCACTTGAAGAAATATGTTTTTTAATAATGTGGTAATATCAACTTTAAAGTTGGCTTTTCCAACTTTAAAGTTTATAATTCCAATTATAATCTTTTCTTCCTGTTATAATTTGAGCTTTTCTAAATTTTTCCTCAGCTTTCCCCCCTCTATTTGATATTATTATCAACTTCATTAATGAAACAATATACTGAAACAAAATTGTAAACTATGTCAATTATATTTTTACCTTGGTAATCCCTATGACAGTACAAATGACTTCCAACTTTAAAAGCATTCTCTTGGTTTATTTTATATAATTTTATAGAGGATAACTTCATACAACTCAGCAAATGAGATCATTTCAACCATACCATAGGCTATTTAAGAGATCAGAAATGCATATTTGTTGAGAATGAGTTTAAACAAATGAGACAATGAAATATATGGAGATAATAAACAGTACTCAAGCTCAAAAGTCCATTCAAAGAATACAAACCAGCTATAGGAGCAAACACGGACCTCTAAAACATCAGAGGTGGGATCAGGTGCCATGGAGGAGTGAGTATCCCCTGCTGACTGGTCACACCCGCTGTGTGCTCCTTGTCATGATCGGGAAATAACGGGAAAACCCGTCGACAACTCAGTGGGTAAATAATGGCCTAACATTTAGTATGAAAAACGTATTGTATTTGCTGACAATGTCATTGTATTGACCATAGAACTTATGAAATGATGACTTTAAACGAGACTGTTGATATTCTTGTTTCATCAACTTGTTTGTCAATAACTTACCTCGATTTAGAAATTGTTCATACGTAGAGCATGCTCTTGTGTATCGAATCAACTAAGAGATATACCCATATGCAGGTGATGAGGGTATATTGTTGCATAAGTAAGGAAAGTTGACGATTGAAAAGTTAAAGGCATCACGTTTATCATAAAGCTTTGTTGTTAGATTACCATTAACGTCTTTTTCTAGTAAAATATCCAAATAGATGTGTCAGATTCTGTGGTATCTTTTATTTCAAGCTTACTGGGATATATCGTGCAGGGATGGGGTAATTAAAAAGAAAGTAATCTTAATTGAGTGTAATTAATGGCATTTTTCAAAGTAATTGGAAGTAATTTGTAATTGACAATTTTTTCAATTACTTGTATTTGTAGTTTAATTACACTGAAAAAATACCATGTAATTTCAATTATTTTTCAATTACATTTCAATTACTTTACATAACATATACTATTCGTATTTAATAGGGAAATATTTCCATAACAACTGCATTTTACAGTTCTTTCTATTCATTTAAAACATCCTCAGTCATTTTGTTTTTTCAAAT